CTATCTAGTCCCCTATAGGTCCCCCGTCCTAAACCTTAGTCCGTAGCTCATTTGGCAATAAAAAAACCACAAGTTGGCGCTCTGATCTCCCAAGTTTCAGACTCATCAGCCAAGATGACGCCACCTGCTAGGAGCCTCTGCCTGAACTATATAACCCCTATGTATTCCTTAGTTTCCGTTTCATTTTCGATTTTCNNCATTTGATTCTTCATTATTGGGGTGCTATCTCTATATAACCCATTATAACTCCAAAAAACTACTAAAGCCTCCACTAGGGTCTAGGGAGTCTAGAGTACAGCGTCATTGCTAGGATGCTGCTTGCTACTTCTGACAATGAACAATCCTACATGACTCTGTATTTACCGTATACCCTGGAAGTTATGATAGTTTACTATAGCAAGGTCAAGCAGGATGTTTAGCGTTCATCGCAGTACAGTGGTGACAGCTACCACTGCCATCAACATGCTTGTTATCATGGTGCTGACCACAGAAACTTATACGTTTCAAAAGAAGGCCTGAATCGTGGCAATCCGCAAATGCGGCACAGGTCCTGTCTTCACACAATGCAGGGAGATTTCAAGCCTGTTTCACGAAGATCAGGCAAAAACGTCCTAAAACTTAAGCTGCGAACCCTCAGCCCTCTAGCCGACACCGTAGGCTGTGTCGGCAGAGTAGGAGTCCTGCTTCAAGCTCCGCACACTGCGCGGCTCCGAAGCGGGTATTGAGGCCAGCAGCTCACCAGAGGCCATCCAGATGCGCAACATTCTCACTGATGATGTAGCTTTAACATAAATAGGCAGCCCCAAAGTAGACTCCAGTCTACTACAAAACTTGCTACAGTGACAGGGACTTCCGAAAAGAGGGCTTCTAATATTTGGACACCAGGAAACTACAGGATCACTGCTCTGTTCGTGGCTTATCCAGGCAGTGTAAGAAGGAGGCAGCATCTGGTAGATATCATGCAGGGTTGCTGTTGCGACTCCAAGTTTTGCAGTATCTTGCATAATCCGTGCGTGTGCAACTAGGATGGCCGCGCGATGGTTCTCCAAGATATCAACATATGATCCCTGACGCCGTTCTTGCCCTGAGAAAGTTTGGTCAGCGCTGCAAGGCGCAAACACAACAAAGCCAATACTCGGAAAGCAGCACAGCAGATGTGTAAGCCTATGGCGAAGAAGGGCTGCCTGTAGCATTGCTTGAAATGTCATGACCCTGGGAGCTTCATCTCAAAGGCGGGACACGGATCAAAAAGCGCCCTGAACAAAGCAAAACCATTCACTTGAACGCTTTTCTTTGTGTCACGGAGGCGCACGTAGCCAAACCATTTCAAGCTGGAGCGGAATCAGAAAACGTTCGCATGACAGGGATTTCGTCTAAGCATGCCATACGAAGTAAGTGATGATCCAACACGTTCCAAGTTGATGATGAGCACGTCACCCACAGGGTATGATGACTCCTCAATATGAGGACTGAATGGGTCCTACTAGCGGGATCATCTTACTAGAGCTTTCCTTATGAGTCATCAGCTGCACATGCAGCTGGCAGACAGAGAATCTCCAGAAGCCACGAGACTATGCTCGTGCGACGTGCTGGATCCCCATGCCACATCACAGTGTGATAGTGAGACCCCACCCGCCCGAGGGCCCTGCGATGGGTAGTCGAACATCATGGTGAAGGGCAGACCTCGGGCATACTAACACATTGACAAGTTGGTTAGACATTCAGATATTGAAAGGGGTGAGATGAGGTGTGGACAGGGCAGCTTAAATTTTGTCATGGCAGCATCCGATCCTGTATTGTATTGCAAGCCAACCAATCCTGCAGCAGTGAACAGAAGGTGGAATCTACAGTCGTGTGTTATATTGCAGTTTGCATGTTCTCTTGCACTGCAACCGCAGCAACCCTGCGAATAGGGATAAAGATACTTTCTCGTATGTTTAACCATTAACTTCAAAAGCAAGAAACTCATTGCTGGTGTCAAAATGTCTGCGTGAGGCACAACACGCACAGGGATGTGCAGGTTCCGGTGTGACAACTTTGCGGCCAAACATCCTGTCGTTCTTCTGGTTTCTCATTGGAAGAATTCTAAAGGTTCCTAAGTAGGCGTTCCTTATTGGGCTTTAGTATAACCCCAAAGACCCGGCCTTGCAGCTGAAGTAGCTGTTCAGGCAATACTTCATGTTTGGCGAGGGCATTTCACAGCAGGGGAAAAAAAGAGTGTAGGATCTCCTGCCAGAAGATGTGTACTGGATAGGCTTAGCACTCCTCAAGTCACAGGGCTCAGGGCAGGAATGCTTCACCATCTGCTCTACTGTTCTTGTTCAAGCCAAGTGTACAGAATGTGTCACTGAGAAGTCTGAACTCTGCCACCCTGGGCCCTGAGCCCCCAATCCTCAGCCGTGCTCTTTCTTCGCCGGAGGTCGTTTGACTATTCAGGTGTTCATGCCGATAGACTGAACAAAGCAAGACAGCTGCTTGTGCGAGACCAGCACCTCCTTTTTCCTGCCTGCCGAGCGGTCTCGCCCATTTGCGCATGTGAAACGTCCTATGTGCATCTCCAAGCAACGGCTCTGCCTGTAGTACGTAGTTCCAAGACCACATACTCTGCAACACGACATTGTACTCTGCTGTGAGCTTGACAGTTTCCTCTAGCACTTTACACGATGACAAGCTCGGATCAATCTTTTGATTCAGTTTGTTCTGGCGCATACTTTTTCAGAAGCGTCTCTTTCTTCTTCTGCACGATGAGCCGCTCGATGTCTTGCATGGTGGGGACATCCACATAAGCCTGCGGAATGAGGTTGGGGCACAGGGCTTTGGGTCGCATCCTGGGAATTTAGACCAGCGCTCTTCAGAACAAGCCCGCATCTTCCAAACTGCTGAGGATCATTTCTTTAGCTCTGGTAGTGGTGGCAGGCAGTTCGGCAGAACTACGGGAGGCCCTTAGGTTCCAGCATTCTTGACCAGGACTTTAGACAGCAAAGCGCTTGTCCTCGCATCATGTACTTAGGTGGAGCGACTTAAGTTTGTGCAGGTTCTGATCCACAATCCTTTTACGTGCTCAATGACTTCGAACGTGGGGTAGGAAAATATAAGCTTCTGCTGCTGTTGTTGCTGTATCTGTTGCTGCTGCTGCTG